GAATCGAAACAAGAGAAGATGGCAGGTAAAATCGGGAGTAATTCAGCTTTTGCGGTGAGGGAGAGCCTTTTATGGTTTTTACCCTCAACTCAGAGCCATCTCCGACAGACGAGGGAGCATTTTCTATGGTGGCCGGGGGTTAAGTACTGGAAAATTATGGCTAAATATTTGTCGGGGAATATGTCAGTGGGAAGATTGGTCCATTCAGACTGTAAAAAAGGTTTTTTTTAATGACGTTGTATTGTGCCAATCGAATTTTTAACAACACTGTGAAAAATATATAAGACGGAGGTGATAACTGATTCTAATGGAGCTCTTTCGTAATGAGATGAAAAATTGGGCAGGTTTAACATTGAGGAGGAAGAGTGGCCTCTAGGCCTTTTTGGGGTGCTTAGTATTCTTGGGTTAAAAAATCGAATCTTTTTTTGTTTTTGATTTTCCATAAAAACAAGGGTTTTGACAAATCGGGTCAGATAACATGAACGAGTCCTTTTTCTTTGGGTTTTTAATTTGCCTGTTGGCAATCAAAGAGAAGGGCCCGGTGTCACGTTGTAATTCTGTTAGGGTTAGGGACGAATTTGTCTACTTTCTTAATGGTAGGGATATATTTGGACGGATAGTAGAACTAGAGACAAACGTGGATAATTTACTAGAGGGACAAATTTGGCCTATTTCCCTTTAATCTATGCCAGTTATCTTTTGCACCCAAAAAAATAACATAAAACAACGCGATTCTAGCAACGATTTTCGTCAGAAGTGAAAATATAAACTACAGGACTGGACTAATTAATTAAAGAAGATTCGAATTGAGGTTATGTCATTACTGATTGATTTTTTTTTTTTAAAGTAAGTCACTTTAATAATAATAATAATAATAATAATAATAATAATAATAATAATAATAATTTGACTAAACAATCAGAGAAACCGTTGCTTGCGTCGATGGAGAGTAAGGATGTCACAATATTATTGGTTAATATTCCTAATTAATTACACCTAAAAAATTTATGTTGTACGCCCCAAAAAGAGAAGAATGAGTCAAGGATTCTCCTCGTTATTTATACATCAAAAAAGATATTATATGTAAGTGCGGATGTAGAAGCCCGCATTCTAGTTCAGCAGAACGCAATATCTTTCGCTCAAACAATATATTTGTATTTAAAAAACTATTAAAAACATGCACACATTAGATTTAAATACTAATTTTTAACACAAGAAGTCATCATTCTAAATCAAAAACTCATAAAACTAAAATTTTAGCTCTATCCTGATTATATGTCCTCATTAAGAATGAGTGGAGTGTTTGACACGATCCGGTACTTGATTAACAACACTTATTATTTAAAAGATTCTTTGTAAGAACTGCATATTTTCCCTCGATTTCTCTACAATCTTTACAAACAGAAAAAGATTGTAGTCGTGAGAATAATTCTGGCTTGCTAGCAACATTTGAAACTCAACCAATCAAGAAGGATAATAAAATTAAAATCCTCTAATAGCAAAAATGTAAACAAAATAAAATATCCTGATATGCCAAATAACAGCAACTCTTCAAAACCTTCGAACTCTAGGAGTATTAAATGTTGGTCTACAAAATGCATAGAAAACATAAACTTGCTGGGGGACAAACTGATCCAACAGTGGATATCAACTTACTGAATGTTTGAGGATTTGTTAAGGATAACACCTTCGTATTTGACTTGGAACCACTTCATAGCGTCATCCTTTGTGACCCTGTGCTGAATTCCAACTCGGGCCTTGCACCTCCTACGACGAGCAACACGGTATCCTGGGCGCTCGAGCACAACATAGAAATCCATACCATAGATACCGGTTGAAGGGTCATACCTATAGAACAGATAAAGGTGTAGAATACCAAAACAAATTAGTGACAGCACAATCATTTTACAGACATAAAGACAGAGCAGTTGATAGATAACAACCCTATGCTCATACTCATATAGTGAAACATGAGAAAGAAACACACTCGGTAGAACTTCAGGGAAAACGCAACACAAATTCTTGAAGGTGACTAAAAACTATTAATCGTCACCTATATGATTCATGCAGTTTCAGCAAACAAAATTTAAAGCTTAATGATGCACGCGCAATAGCAAGACCCATGACAGACAACCAACCACCTCCAAATAATAAAATTGAAAACTAATCATGTTGAATGTGAATAAACCGAATAGCATGATATAGCTAGATAACATATGCTTACTTGATTCCAAGATCAATGTGCTCCTGAATGCCAAAACCAAAACAGCCAGTCTCACTGAAGTTTCTTCTCAACAACTCGTATTCCTTGACTTTCAATCCGCTCTCAAGGAGCTGCATAGCTTTATCTCCTCTGACAGTGACATAGCAAGCAATCTTCTCATTACGCCTAATTCCAAAGGATCGCACAGTATACCTAGCTGTCAAAGAGAGCAATACAACCACCAGAGGAAACTAAACATCGTCAACAAAGAATGAGGGATGAATACTTGATTACTTAAAGTCAATAAATAAATTATTTACCTCAGTACAAATCTTTCAATGTATAAACACCAATTTTAAATGTGTGAACAACCACATCAATTTTTTTATCATTGCATATTCAGAGTTAAACTAATTCTTGCACATCTAGCTCAAGAAAAAACATAATTAAAGAAGCATACAACCATTCTTTATTGGTTGGTTCTCACTTAAGGGAGCAATAAGAATCATTTCAGAATGCTGCTGCTGCCACGGTCACCACCACCACCAACTACTACTACTACTCAATCCCAAACTAGTTGGGGCAGGTTACATGTATATATGAGCCCGCTTTCAGGATGCATATAGGACAGGATAAAAGGCGGGTTACTCCTTGAGACCTAACATTTATATGTCAATTAGCTACATTTCAATTCTACATCAGTTAGGGTTGACTAAATGAATCTTATTTATTTCAGCTCTAGTCAGCTCCACTTCATTCCAATACAATATAATATATGGAAATTAGAGATTCAACATTTTAACAGTACTGATTATAAATTAATTCAACATTTCAACAAAATTGTCATGTCAATGTTAATCAATCAATTCATCAACTGAGCATAACACAGGTTAACACGTACATTTGATAGAGACGGAACTAGATAAGTCCAGTAACTGACTATGCATTTGAGACAAAGGTAGCTAAATATCCGAAAATAGAGAAAAAAAGTGGAATAAATTGAAGGTTCAAAAAAACTAACCCTTAGAGAAAACAGGGGATTGGCCGCTGAGTTGCTCCAAGACCTATTCAGTACGGAACATTAACAATGCCAATTTCAGTTTCACAATACAACAATGAAATCAAGTTCTAAACACAGTATTAAACGCTATCAGGAAGGAAACTGAATGACCTTGGCTGCTCTGGTGAGCCTATCTCCGCTCTCACCAACGGAGATATTAAGGACTAGCTTCTGAACCTTGATTTCCCTCATTGGGTTGCTCAACTTCTTCTCTGAAGCCTGCTCATCGAATCAACGTATTCACACAAGTAACTTAGATTTTCCAAAATTCAATTCTTCAAAAACACAAATTAATGGGTGCATATTAGTCCTTTTCTTAATAACCGAGAAATCCCCTCGGGACAACGGGCCCACTGCTCTACGCTTCTCCACTTAAATACCGGGCATTTTGTTTAACTCACACATCACGAGCTGCGCTCTTACTGCTAGACCAAAGCCCTAGGGTCGGTGCATTTTAGTCATTTAAATTTGCAGAAAATTGCTTCATGCTTCTTAAACACAATAAATTAGTAGATCCGCTTTTAATTCTACAACTTATATCGAACAACTCATTGATTAACGACAGATTAATAACTTGTAAAAATGATTATGAACAAAGATAAAAAAGTTGTAGTTTAATATGAAAATTACAAGCATTATAATCCACTACTATATTTTGTGGAAAAAAATATTGAGAAAATAGATGGAAACGTACCATTTCGATTCGGTCTGAGGAGCTTTGCTGCAAAAAGAGATGGAGAGAAGCAAAGCGGCGGAGAAGGAGGGTTTTGCCAAGAATTTAAAGCAGATAGCGAAATTCAGATTTGGGCTCATTTGTTTGGTTTGGTTCTATTTAGCCCGTTAAATTTGGGATTGGGCCAAGGATCTTTTTGAATTTGGGCTCATCTTGCTATATATTACAAAAATGGGAGAAATTCAAAAGAGATTTTTTCCTATCTATACCATATATGAAACTTTATTACCAAAAATATTTATATTATCTAAATTATCCGCCTAGTCCACATTTTTCCTACAATTTATGTACCATTCGTTTATTAGGTATTAAAAGGGCAGAATATTCCCTAAAAACACGCTAAAAATCAGGAAAGAATCCTGATTGATTGATTCTACATTAAATTCAATTTTTGAAACGGAAAGGAATATTCTCATCAGCGTATTTTTCTCTTAAATTACAATTCAAAAATTAAGGGAAAAAAGTACGCACAGCTTCAAAAAGTACGAACAGCTTCAACTACGAACAACTTCAACGAACTGAATTCAAATTGTAGAATTCAAATCTTCGAGATTCAACTACGAACAGCTTCAACGAATTGCTATACTCTGTTCTTCGTCGTTTTCAGAAATTAAATTGTCGATCATATATATGTTCTTTATCTTTTCTTCTCTCAATCTAGAAATCCAAAAAAAACACCAACAACAACAAGCAATCATGTCGAAAATCGCAATAATGCTACAATTCAATGGGATTTGGGAAAACTATGGGAGATTTAGGGATTTTGAAGTTGATGCCATTGTGGTAGATGTGAATCAAGCTACAATATTCTCGTTTCTACAATTGCAGAACAACTATCGATTGATACTACAGAAAAAATCGTAGAAATCAAATACATCGTGAACGACAATTGTCCCCCAATGGAGATTGGGAATGATATGGGGATTAGTGTGTATATAGAGACCAAAAAGGAGAATAAAAACTTAGGTTCATATCCGTTATGTATAAGTGTACGAGATTTCAATATGGAATTGGCAATCACGAACGATAACACAAGTGCAGGTTTGTATAGTTAGAAATTGCATAGAATTATGGTTTTACGATATTATCTAAAATATATCTACATTTAACTACAATTAAAACTACATTTATACAATTTAAGTACAATGTCTGACATCCTAATATGGATGTCTACAAAATTTTAACTATATCTACAAAAAATCTACAAATTTTGTACAAATTAAAATGACACTGTTTATCTTTATATTGATGCAGGTTCGTCTGGGTCCCTAAAGTTACTTGATATGCCATCCTCTCCGGCTATAAAGGAATATCAAAGTGAAATAATAAAAGAATCTACGCAAACTGATATTGAAGAAGGACAAGTGTATCAGGACAAGCAAACTGTAGCTGCTGCAATGAAGCACTTTTCTGTGATGCACAAGTTCCAGTTCAGAGTTAAAAGATCTAGTCATAGAAGGTATGGAGAAAATATCAATAAAAGTAGTGTTTTAGTCAAGTAAAAAAATATTTGAAAAATTGTAGTTAAATTGTTACTTTATGGTAAAACAGTCCTTTTGTTGCACCTACATTTATAATCTGTATTAAATATTGTATTTTTTTGGAAGTTACTGGCTTGTATGCGTTGGTGAAAACTGTAAATGGCACTTCAAGGCAACATCAATTAATGATTCCGCAATGGTCAAGATAAGGAGTTTCAACTGACAACACACATGCTCCTTAATGGACGATACATTCATACAGCACAAACATACTGCAGTTGTAGTTGGTAGCATGGTCATGCCAAAGTATTGTGATCCTAAGACAGTTTACACACCAAAGGACATACAAACTGACATGTTATCCCAACATGGATTGAACCTAAGCTACATACAAGCATGGAGGGCAAAGGAAAAGGCTTTACAGTTATTGAGAGGTCATCCGGCTGACTCCTATAATAAATTACCAAAATATTTTTATATTCTTGAGAAAACGTATCCTGGTTCAATTGTTAAATTGAAGAAGACAACCGATGAATGCTTCTTATATGCATTTGTTGCTCTTTGTACATCAATAAGTGGTTGGGAATATTGTAGACCAGTAGTAGTGGTTGATGGGACATTCTTAAAGACAACCTATTAGGGGAATTATGCTGACAGCAAGCACAATGGATGCAGCAGGTATAAATGTAGTTATTTTGTTGTTATTTTGTAGGCAGTGTGTAAATTGTAGAAACATTGTAGATATCTTTGTAGATATCTTGTAGTTTATATGTATTTGTGTCTTTATATGCAATTTCAAAGCTGCCAGTTAATTAATTTTTTATTAATAATGTAGGAACAATATTGCCTTTGGCATATGCAGTGGTTGATTCGAAAAACGATGCATCGTGGAAGTGGTTTTTTGAGCAATTCAAGCTAGCATATGGTGAAAGAACTTCAATGTGTGTTGTTTCAGATAGGAATGAGAGTATCCTGAAGGCAACATCAATTGTCTATCCGGGCGTGTCACACTACTCTTGCGTGTGGCATATTTGGACAAATATAAGGGCAAAGTTCAAGAAGGGTCATCTACAATTAAATGAATCGTACTTTGCTACAACAGGATCATACACTATGGATGAATTTAATGAAAGGATGTCGAAGATTGAAGAGATAGACCCTCATGTTAAATCATACCTCTATGATATTGGCTATCATAGATGGTCAAGAGTACATGCAACGGTGAATAGAACTTGGACTATGACATCAAACATCGCAGAGTCGTTGAATGCTGTAACAAAATATGCAAGAGAGCTGCCTATATTTGACCTATTAGAGTATATGAGGACACTTCTTGAACGTTGGACGAAAGAGAAGTTGTTGAAGGCAAAGGGTACTTTCACATACCTTGGGTACAAATTCAACAAAGAATTGGAGAAAAACAGTACATTATCTCAGAAACTTAGGGTAAGATCTCTTTATTTTATGGAGAATAATAATATTTTTATATAAAGTGTTTCCAGAATTTAGATAAACTGTAGACACACTATAGTTAATTTGTAGATGGTAGATCATTTGTAGATAAATTGTAGATAAGTTGATGATAATTGTAGATAAACTATTTTTATGAATTTTAAATATTTTTATTTCTGTTTGTTATGTAATTGTAGGTGAGGGCTTCAACAGATCTTATCTATACTGTGATAGATGGTGTGAAGCGGTACATTGTGTGTCTTGAAAACAAGAAATGTACTTGTGGCCAGTTCCAACTTGATGAACTTCCATGTGCGCATGCTTTGGCAGCTTTAAGGGACAGGAATGAAGGATATGAAAATTATTGCTCGCCGTATTACACAAGGGAGAGCCTACTCCGTACATATGAAATACCAGTAAATCCCCTTCCTGATGAAAGCAAATGGAATGTGCCACAACATATATCTGATGAAGTAGTAAAACCACCTACGGGAGAGAAAAAGCAGCCAGGAAGACCTCAAAAGGAAAGATACAAAACATATGATGAACTAAAGTCAAAGAAGTACAAGGTGTCATGTGGAAACTGTGGAGGTGAAGGGCATAACAAAAGATCTTGCAAGAATGCACCCAAAAAAAAAATATCATGTAGTTAGAATGGTTATTTTGTAGTTACTGTTAGTGAGTTAAAGAATCTACATTTTTTTGTGTAATCGTTTAAGTTTTTAAAGATCATTATGAAGTATACTACAATTTTATTATGCGTGTTTAATATGCTTTTATGTATCTTGTCAGGCATCTAAATTTGTCTTTGATATAGTGTAATTTTGTATTAATATTTATTATCTACAATAAAACTGATATTAAAAAGTAAATTCATGTAAAGTGTTTCCAGATTGTAGATATAATGTAGGTTAAATGTAGTTAAATTGTAGTCTTTGTAAAATTTTGTAGACAATTTGCAGATTCATTGTGGATAACACATTTCTATGATTGGAGTATTTATTTAATTTTTTGTTGTGTAATTTGACTTCAACTGACAGTTATATACAGAAGGTAAACAGCTAGAAATTATGATATACAAATACAAAATTTATATACAATAACTACATTAATTCTTCACAAAATGTTGATATTGCCATAAAATAACAAAACAATAAAGTCTGCTGCAATAAAAACATAAAAATTTTGTTCATAAAGTATTGTATTCTCCTTCAATTACAAATTGGCATCAAGTAAACTAGGAAAACAACACTCTATTTCTTCTTTCTCTATACTCTAGTCTTCTCATTCAAAGCAGGAGCACCCTTCCTCCTTGCTAGCCTTCCTGTAACCTCACTTTCACTGATTGACCCATCTTCTTGCTTCTTTGTAGCATAGTCCAATAGGAGAGCTCCATAACGTGTACGGTATTGGTCGATATCCGAAAGGTCTTCTGAAGGGATTGACAAATCTCCAAGGCTAACATACTCCGCAAAAGCAGCCACAAATACCCCACAATCGCTGCATAAGACACAAAAATTTAATTATTTAACAAATAATTATAAAAAAATAATAATTAACCATTTAGAAAGAGAGAATAGTTTTTTTAAGTGATCCTTCCTTTTGCTGTGGAATCTCCGCAACCAACCACTGTATGTTGAGAGGGTTTGTAACTGGTTTCTCAATGTATGCCTTTGTGGTCTTGAAGTCAATGTCTTTACGCTTACCGTAGAAACCTGTGCAAGAAAAATACAGAGGGATAATGATTGAAAACTTATCAACACATGCTTCAACAACATTATGGTTTTGTGAAGACACCATGGAATCATACACATAAAGTCGTCTGTCCGCTATGTCGAAAACGACCAACAACCAATGGAACTTCTCTACAATGTTCACGGGCATGATGACATAGTCAACTTCATCCCAGGCAATATTAGCAAGAATTCTATACCCAAGAATATATTCTGCAACATCATCATCGGGTTTAACAACCGAATACTTTTGTTCTTGTGGAGTACTTATGAACTTCTCATAGATTTGTTCAATCTTTGACTTGAACAAGAAATCTGTTGTTGTAAACCTAGTGTTGTTGTTGTTGGGGCCATTTTTGCCTCTTTTTCTCAGGTAATACATAATAACATCAATGTGCTGCATAATAAAATAAAATCTACTATAAGCTACATTGTAACTACAATTATCAACAAGGCAGATACATTTTAAACTAAAAAGCCAGAATTTAAATAAACTAACAAATAGCTACACTTTAGCTGCTATACACAACAACACATGAAAAATAACAAACTACCATAAGGTCTCAATAATATTGACATTCAAACTATAGCACACATTTGTAAGTCTTCATCTTAAACTACAGCATAAATACAAATTAACTACAATCATGTAATAACTACAATTCTACTACAAAACAGAAGCCAGAATATATTTTGTGAATTTATTCTTTGATACTTACAGAGTTATTGAGGACTTGTCCGGGGTGAGCAAGGGAATAAAACCAGTCCTTCTTATCCACTTTTCAACTCCAACGTCTAACCAAGGCTTGATTTGGTTATCCTTTATTGAAAAGGGAGCCTTCCTCCTGTAACAACAAATAAATGTCCAATCAAAAAAAATCACATAATGAATTACATATGTAAACTTTAAAATGTTGAAATGACAGTGTCAAACTAAGCATTCATACCTCTTAGAAACTTTGTCAGTACGGTGGTATAACCACTTGTTGAACTTATCTAACACATCAGAATCTACATTTTTACCTATAAGAGTTATGAAGGGGTGCTTGAGGTAGAAAAATTTAGGACCAATAGAGCTGCTGCCTCCAGAACTATATAGAGGTATGAAAGGTGATCGTGCATGTTTCCCCGGTTGCCTGCTTCTCCCCGGATGAATAGGGGTTGCTTCATCTGGTATGGGCTCTCCAAACTTAACCAATTGTGTTAAGTTGTCTGGCAACTCAAAGTCATCCAATGTCACACACTTCTTATCAATGCCTGATCCTTCAGAACCAACTTCATCCACATGTTGTGTATCTTCACCTTCATTTAGCTGTTTCTCATTGACTTGTTCTATCTGAGCTGCTACACTCACTCCATGAATTGGGGAGTGTACATTGACATCTTCAATATCTGTTACATAAAACATAAATGACTTAACAGGAATGTAAAATTGTATGAACAACAAGTATTTATTATGAATGACAGCATGATTTTATACCTCCTTGATCAACATCAGCTGCTTCTTGAAATTCTGGATATAAGTCAACATGTCCTGGAACATGTTCTGGACAAACTGCAGCTTAAATTTATAATTAAAAAAAGGTAAATAATACTAGATAATGCTGCCTTGAAAGTTGTAGATATAGGTAGGAAGTTGTAGATAAAATGTGAATAATAAAACTATGTTCTATAAAGTTTTATAATAAGTGTATATATTTGTAGGTATTTTGTAGATACCTGTGTTGCTTGTGCTTGCATGCACTTGATCACCAATATTGCAATGAAATTGTTGGTTGTTCAATCCTTGTTGTTGGTCATTGTTTTTGGTTGAACTACCAGCAAACTAAATATTTAATGTTAGGTTGAGTATATTATTTCATATGTCATAATTTGTTTTGGTATATAAATATATGTCAACTCTTACCTTTGCCTCATCCACATCATAGCTCCTGTTTACCAATTTCAAAACACTCTTCACAGAATCATCTATAAACACTCTTAGTTTATGGAGTTCCTTAAATACAGCCTTCCTAAAATCTGCTAATTTTCCATCAACCTAAAAGTTAAAAATATAGAAATATAGAATTATACTACAATTTAACTACAATATATACTACATCAACTGTTGTGAAATGTAGATAAATTGTAGCTAATATGTAAATATATTGTAGTTAATAATATTACTTGCTGAATTCCCTTTTCTAGCTTCCTGAGCTTCTTAGCCACAGATTCCTTGTCCTCTTGACAATCTGTATGTTTGGGTTCCAATGTTGGAGAATCAACATTTGGAACCTCTGATGATTGTGCAACTTGTTCATCCTCATATTGAATCTTGTTTGGCAGAGTAAGTACTCCAATCTCTTCTCCAGATTCAGTTATGCTTGTGAATTGAATGATGAAAAAATCCCAGTTAGTTCCACTAAGGAAGAAATGTAGACAAATTGTAGATATTATGAATGTATATGTAGACAGTAACCAAAACTGAAAAACATACCTTAATCCACTCAGGCTTGATCAACTTCTTCTCAAAGGCAGTTAACCAAATCTGCCCCTTAGTAGCTGACCATCTTAATATGCAAGGTATTGAGTCAGAAGACCTCGTAGCAAGCTCCGTGCTGACGGTCGAGCAACACTAATAAAGCCACACTTGCAAGGCTAATGAGCATCCCCGTATTAGATAAGAATGTACACGAGGATTTAGACGATGCCTAACAGATTCCATAACCTAATTGAAAGATTTAATACCCCATGGGTATGACTCAAACTGACCAGACTCCACCAAATAGAACCTAAAGTTGTCTATAAAAGACACATGGTCTTTGTCAGAAGGGAAAACAAAAAATTCCAAAAGATAAAGAATGCACAACTTGACTGCATCCTCATCATTTACCCAAGATCTATTTGTCACTATGTTTTTCAAATACCACTTCTCTACTCTTTTTTGGTTAGGAAAATAGCTATTCATTAACTTGCTAACATAAATAGAAGTGTATCCAAAATCTGAAAACTGATTCACAAAATTTAATCCAGTAACTAAACCAAACCCTCTCAATGAAAAATTCAATTTTCCCCCCTTCAAGTAGACTGAAAAAAATGATTCATCAGACTTAGACAGTTCATACTTCATGAGGAGATGAATAGCTTGGTTTTGCATGCAAATGGAGGGGAGAGACAGTAAGTAACCAAAACAAGTATTTTTAAAAAGCTTTAAAGCATTTGGAGACAACAACTCTTTTATCTGGCTAGGAATACTAGGATCACACAAAGTGTGGAATCTAAGCACACCATAATCCATATTTTGTGGGGAAAAATAATGTCCATTCTGCAAAAAATAATAAATTATTTCACATCAGTAAAATGCATAAAAATGAAGCATTAATCTACATATTATCGACATATAACTACACCATCACTACACAAATAGGTAAAAACAAACGAGGAAGAAAAAACTACAGGAATAAGAAAGTAAATACATCTTTGTTTCAACATTTAAAATATAACGACAATATAAATAAAAGACAACTACAAAATACCTACAATAATAAACTGTAAAACATCACATCTACAGAATAACTTACAAAATTAAGACAACTAATCTACAATTTACCAGCACACTTAAAACAGGGATTTTGACATACAAAACAAAACTACAAAACTGGAAAGGAAAATAATAATGTTTACCTTCGCCAAATTTTTTTTGAACCAATTTGGGGTGATTTTTGGACTGTTTCTTCGGTTTTTGCTTTGAGGAAGAAGGAGACAACTTGGATTTTTTTACTCTAGGAATTTTAGGGATATCGTCCAAAAAATCGTCATCTATACAAAACTCTTTACCCTTTCTTTTGAGTTGTTTGCCGCCTGGTGTACCACTGCCTCCAGCATCGACATCGTGCAAATGCTTTGTTCTATTCTCGGCACGGATTTGTCTAGGAGATGAACTTTGAGTAGTAGGTTCCATTGCATGTGTAGATTTTAGGAATTTTTGTGGTGATTTTGGTGTTACAACACCCAAATCGAAGGAGGAGATATCACCTACTGTCATTTTTTTAGGTAATTTTTTGGGAGATTTGATGTTCTTCATAGTT